AGAATTTTGATATCGCCAACTGACGTCTTGTCCAGTGTTGATTGAAGTTGTCTGTAGAAATCCTCCTTTTTCTCTTGCTCTGCATTATTTGTAGGTGCATAACATTGTATGATTGTGACCTTTCTTCCTTTTGAGTTGAATCTTGCTGTCATGATCCTGGAGGAGATTGGTTCCCACTGCATGAGAGCCTTCGATGCTCTTGAGGACATCATGATAGCCACTCCCTCAGTGTGCTCGTGGTTGGCGTCTGGGTGACCGGAGTAGATTATTGATTCTCCAGTTGACAGTTTGGAGAGTCCACTCCCATTCCATCTGCTTTCGCAAATCCCAAGCACTTCGATGTTATACCTTCTCATCTCCCTTGCAATCTGGGCTGCCTTACTGGGTTCAAACATCGTGCGGACATTCCATGTCCCCACGTTTACTTTCGCTTTCATCGAGAGAAGACACATCGGCCAATTGGCTTCCCGAAGGCTTTCACCAACTGGCGTCATTTCGCCTCTCCGATTCCAGCGGGGAATAAGTTTGTTTTCATTTTTTATATTTTGTTTGTGCTTTGAAGTTTCTTTAGCGGTTAGATTTGTTTTACGGGGTAGGGTTGCTAGCCCTATGCCCAACCTTCCCTCTTTACCCGGGCTTAGGACCGGCTAGTAACTAGTAACTAGTTAACCAGGCGGCATAATATTTTGCTTTGGGTGGACAGCAGTATGATTCCGCGCCAGTTCTTGCAAAGACTTACGTCTCTCTTCTTTGGGAGTTTGACGGTACCCGCTCTAATCTGCAGGTACCTTTCCTTCCTTCCAAACCCACTGCAGTAGTGGTGTGAGCATTATGAATTCTACTACTCATTAATAGTAAGTAGCATCACTTGATATCAGGAATTTATGAGATTCAGTATTCGACTTCATAAAATGTCAAGAATATGAATGTTAAAGACAAGAGGATGATTTCAATGGATATAACATCACTATAAAAAGAGTCAACTGCGTTAGTGAGTAGATAAAAGAACGATAGATAGATGCACGAATTTTGCCTGAAAGAGTTAAGGAATTGCTGCTAAAATGCACCACGAATATCCGATTTATGTTGAATAATGAATTCTACAGACAGGTAGATGGAGTTGCAATGGACTCTCCTTCGGGCCTGTGCTTGCGGATATCTTTCTCACTTGGTATTTATCATGGACTGACATCAGTTGGAGAAACATTGGAAACCTGGAAGCACTGGACACATGTCTCGTCCCAGTATGGGATTCATCAGCAGTGTGCACCCATTACACCGCTCCGTCAGAGACTGAACCCAGGACCTTCGGTTTCCGCGGGCAGCATATTACCATTGAGCCACTGGTTAGGAGTCCAATGGTCTATATTTTCAACTTTTACCAATTCACGATATACGGTGACCATCACCCAATGTCATCGTGGAGATGAGGACAAATACTCATCAATGACCATTAGATCCCAACCCAGTGTTGGCTCAGCGGTAACGTGCTGGTCAGGAAACCTGAAGGTCCTGGGTTCGGTCCTTAGTGGGGCAGGGTGATGGGTGAGCACTGCTGATAAATCCCATACTAGGACATGTGTCAAGTGGTTCCAGGTCTCCAATACCCCTCCAAATGATGTCAGTCCATGATCAGTTAAAATTTGAAAAATCACTAAATCCCCACAAACACCCAAATCAGATATCTTTTTGGCCAAACTTGAAAATGGCGCACTTAGAAACTCACTTGATAAACTTGACTATTATTGCCGAAATATATATGATACGTTCATCATTTGTAATAATGGCTACAATAAAGATGATCTCTAGAATACCTTCAATACTGTTCACTCAGCTATGAACTTCACCTGTAAGGAAGAACAAGGGAATAGTATTCCTTTCCTAGATGTCTTCCTCAACAAGAAAACGGATGGGTATATTAATAGGAATATTTTTCGAAGTAACATATGGATTACTTGTATTCACTTTCATAGATTCATACCGATACAATATAAAAGAAACCTGGTCAAATAACCGAGTTACAGAAAAAGAAACAAATGTTCTGATGACTGTATTGAAGAATAAACTGAAGATAACATTGCAGCAAAATTGTTATCCACAAAAACTTCACAAATGAACACATTTCGAAACCCAGAGAGAAGATAAAGAAAGACAATGTAGTTAATAAACCTATATATCTTAGCCTAAGTCCCAAAGGTGATATTTCCTCGGATGTCTTAACACATCGATTAAGTAGAACAGTCTAAAAGACATTCAATATAACGAAACATTTTGTCAGCTGCTCAGCTAAACCATTACTGACACACCGAACCAAAGAAAGGTTACCTATGATGGTGACTTCAATGTACATTTATGAGTCCAAGGGCACTCGTGAATATATACCAGCTTCTGCGTCATTCCTCTCACATTTAGTAGATAACAGACATCAGATCAAGGTAAATCACGCCTTTTCTGTGGTATATCGTGTCCCTCCCAATCTGCCTAAAGATGCACGACTGCGCATCTTATCCATAGCCAAAGCCATGGATATCAACGCAGAAAAGAGGTCCTATGTGTTCAAAAGTAATATGTACATCCGTTTTGCCTACCTTGGCCCACAGCAGGGTCGACACGTTCTTTTAACCTCCTACTCCTTACTTCTATATTTTCATTACATTGATAAACATTCCGTTTCTAATATTGTTAGTTTTATGTCCTTCTTTATTCATGCCACTACCAGTAGTCATTTTCAATCATGATGTAACATTTCACATTTGTTATTCTCTATTTTGTCATGGTGTTCATATGATTTTCAAACCACTTCGATAATTCGTCGCTACATAATTATTATTTGACCCTTAGTAAACAAACATACACACATTCATGCCCCAGTATATACATATAAATCATTGTAGCTGGTTGGAATCCGTCCGCGGTCTAAATTTTCATTTCACATTCGGTCATCACCCAGTAATTGGAAACAATTGCCCACTCAAAATATTCTTGTTCTGAAAAGTTAAGATGTAAAAACGATGTGACCTGGAATTCGTTGTAAGGGGTTTGGTAAAGTAAATTATTCCGCTTAGTTAGATCGGTAGGGCGGCAGAATAAAACAGAAACAAGTTGAGCGTTTAGACACCAGTGTTTACAGAAAACCTTTACATTCAAATCGTCTCACCCTATGTCAATTGAAATTGGCTTAGTAAAGTGTCCAAGTCACACGGCCAAAAAACTTACTGGTAAAACAGAAAAACTAAGAAAAGGAAATAGATACATTAAAGACACCTTACTCATCAACAACTACCCATCTAAATTTACTGATAAGTTATTTAGGAATAGTAAGAAAAATGGGACTAGTATTAGTAGTACAAATGTTAATCGTAGTAATAATAATGTTGGTAACAGTAGTGGGAATACTGTGAAGAGAGAGAGTCCGAAGCCACTACAGTGTAACCAGACAGAGAAGGCAACTCAGGAACACTATGTAGGATTCTTAATAAGGCTGGTTGGCATCACATTGGCATTCAAACCTACAAACTCATTTATAAACAAGCTTTGTAGGTTAGAAGATCCTATTAACCCAATTAAGCAGAATAACTTAGTTAGCCAAATCCCTTGCAACAATTGCGGAGTCAAATACATAGGTCAGTCAAAGTAGTCGACTCAGGTCAATCAGGCTATGAGGGCACAAAAACCTAGTTAGGTCAAAATTGGTATATCCAAGTAAGGTAGGGAATTTAGAAAGAAGCTTAGCCGTACCTATTCATGCAATTACACACAACCATATAATAGGATGGGACAGGGTGAGAAACTTTAAAACTAACATAGCAAGTTGGAGGGACAGATTGATAACTGGGTCTTTGTATATCGAATCAACACCTAGTACAACATTTGAAGAGGTGCGAATTTCTTCTAATCTTTCGTATTATCCAGTTATTTATCACACTACATCACATTCATACAGTGACATCTAGGTATGTTGATAAGTATGTCACTATTGAGGCTTTGCAGAATATGTTAACTGACTGACATCAATGTTGGACACAACTACTTAGCTGTCTAGTAAATTCACATTCTGCAAATATATTTATTATTATGATTTTATGTTTAGTTTGTAAACTAATATGACAAATAATTACGTTTGTTGGTAGCCGGTAGTGGAACCCCCTGGCATGAATTTCATCTTATTTGGTACTCATCAGCCAAATGTACTTATGTTTTCAGCTAGGGTCTTATTTGGCAAACGTTTCAAGGGCATGCTAGACATTATCAACAGAATTTCACAAGAAAGTCAAGCAACTGGTTTAGCATATATATGGAGTGCAATTTGACTGGTTAGTTAAGGAATAGGAGCGTGGGTGTATAGTGAATTTGTTGGTCAATCTTCTAACTCTAGTTTACTCAGTGATAAGTCACATTGTTCTCAACACAAGAATCCTAGCCATTAGACTCGTAAATTACGACAACCAAACCATAGAAAGCAGTTCATCAGACGCCTCAATCCTTCTGGCTGTCTGAATATAACTCTGTTAGAATTCAAGTTCATGGATTTGTTTACAACATAGCTGACAAGTTTGAAATAGTACCAAATGGGGATACTGGATTCCCCTGTTTAATATGTCAGCAAGATAAGATGACAGGTAATATGGCGACATCTGCTTAGGAACCCGTATGGCAACACAAACGGCACGAATCAATCCTGCGCACCAACAGCAAGAATAGTTCTTCCGTAAGAATATCTGAAGCTTGGTCCAACTCCACAAGGCATGCAGATGTTCGTGTTTCCTAGTTCTTCTTGGGTGTTGTGAAGACAAAAAACTTTCTAGCTTAAAATCGGGAATTTATACTGACTCAAAACCAGATAAGGTATACTGTTTTACACCCAGGAAACATATTTTGTGAAATAAATCACACTATTGTTTTTGATATAAGTAGTTTGTAGCTTGCTTTTCATTTCAGAAAGCTAGTCACGGTAAAAATTGGATACACTTCTTTGCATATCTCGGGAAACACGGAACAATCGTCACCATTTACAATACATTCAGACAGTAACGAGAAAGATTTCTGCTAAATTAATTTTTTTACGACAATATGTTTGATATTTCGATCGAAATGATTAATGAAACGATCCATAACGGCTTTTATGTCGATTCCCTCTGCGGAATTTGTGAGCTCTGAGAAGTGTACACAGTACTCAATAATTTCAATCGGATGAGGTCATTTTGAAGACTCAGGAATAAGAAAATTGTGATGTAAACAGAATTTTAAGGCACAAAAGAACAAGAAACAAAAAGATGCACAGACATTTTTACTACCGATTATAATTATTATAATGATTTCAGGATTCTTTTTGCCAAAAATTTATTAGCTGGTAAATTATAAAAGAAATAATTATAAAGGAATAATCATTTCCTTATTTCTTGACGCCAAATTGTGAAGTCATTTTCTTGATAATACCAACCGGATGCAGCGAATTCTGATGATGTCATCAAAAGTCTGTTCACGATGAACTCAGATGTCTTCAATGAAAGATTGATGGATTTTAGCAATTCATCTTCAGCTGACAAGTTTAATTGTACCTGTGGTACAAGTTCAACCTGATTTCGTAGAATAAGAGTAAAATAAAAAGTTCTATTGTTACAAATGAAATGAATTCGATGCATACAAAAGATATTTGTAAAAAGATGGATGGAATCATTACAAAAACTTGTAATATACTATGGAATAATATATCAGTATTATTATTTGTCCGTTGGGTTCCTAGTTGAACATAAAGCTTCAGTAGCGCGTCACCATTTCACTCTCTTCTCCTCAGTCTTTATAACCTGGCTCCACGACTGTCCACAACCTTTCATTTCTTCCTCACACGATCTCCTCCATGTCACCCTCGGACTCCCAACTCGTTGTTTCCCATTTGGATTCCACTTGAGGGCCTGGCGTAGCACGTGATGTCCCCAATCGGCCTTCTGAGTGCATTTCTAATCCAATCCAATCTTATTATTCTGGCCATCTGAACTTCAGTGTCGGTACCAAGCGTAGGCAGCAGCGGTTGACGAATACATGTTTTGTTGGAAATGATTTCCGTAACGCGCCGCCAAGTTTCTCAACGATCACATAGAAGCACTGACTTGACTGATATTAGTGTTGAAAATCCGGATACTGTCCACACTTTATGCTGAGTGCGGTAGATCACCACACTGATTATTTCAGATTGGTGAAGGCGTGTCTTGCTGGCTTTGACATCCTCATCTGTACCATCTGTAGTTGAAAAGATGCTGCCTCGTCCAGGTAGGCGGAAGAGACTACTTCCTATAGGTTTCTCTCGTTGATGGTGGTTGTTGTTAGTTCGGTATCTTCATCATCTGTCTTTTCTATGTTCACCTGAAGGAAGTGCCATCTCCACTGTACCACCTCGCCTCTTCTGTCAACTTGTTAGTTTTCGCCTGTAGATCTTCGAGTTTGTGGGACAAGCCATTAGACATAAATCATCATTGGTGAAATCCGAATCTTCTAGGGTCTTTTCATCGGTACAGTGTATGCCCATCTTGTCATAGCCCCTCACGGTTTGATGCATGGTCCAGTGAAGTCGACCACAATCAGGAAGGTCATGGGTGATAGTAGACAGCCTTGTCTTACCCCTATCCTTCCTTCAAAGGCGTTACTGAGCTTTCCATTATGGATCACTTGGCATGTGGCGTCGTCATATAGCTGTTGAATGAGGTTGATAAAGGTTTGTGGCACTAGAACCGTAGTGTTGAAGCAGTTACCAAATTACTTCTCGGTCGACGCCATCGAAGGCCTTTTCAAAGTCGATGAAGTTGATGTGAAGATCCAGTTGAGTGGCATTCTATGCTCTGTTCTGCAATGATGTGTAGCGTAGCGTTGTAATTTGATCCTCACATGATTTGTTTCTCCTGAAGCCAGCCAGCCTGTTCCGGTCATAATTTTAAATCCAGAGTATTTTATTGAATAACATAAGTTTTGAGATAAAACTGAAGACAACCAACAGGATGCTCTGCAGAGGGATGTGACAGACAACCGGATGGTTCAATCCATGAGTGAAAAAAACTCAATTCACAGGATGAAGATGTTCACACTATCAGTTGGATTGGGATAAATTAAACGAATAATCTTCTGAAAAATGTGTCCAAAGTAAGCACTTTAACTGACTGATAACCGGTGAAATCAATCTGATCGAAATACCAGTTTTCGTACTCTAGATTAGTGGCTAATTCTATATCCCCAGTGTTGTCATTCATCTGCATGGCTCAGCAACCAAATATTCACTTTCATGCACTAGGAAATCAGCGACAACTATTGTGTAAAGTGCCGGCTTAACGTTTGGTGAGTGGAGAGGAGTTGGAACACATGGTTTAGCATGGATCAGAAACTAAGCGTTTAAACTAGACAGTGACGTCATTATTCAGTTAAAGTCAGACAGAATCAACGTAGAACCACACTTCACAGTAGTATACAAAGAACAAGTGAATAGAAAAAGAGTGATATAATAGTAGACAAAGTTTTGTGCGAAAATAAACAATATCAAGCTAAAAGTTGATGAGAATACTCAAGTAGTGAATACTTCTAGGCCAGTATGACCGGTTTTCAACCATATCACCAAGATTCCTCAACCACTGATTTCTGTCGTCTCAGATACCCCAACCAGGTAGTCTACATCTCAACATACGGCTAAGACCAACAGTCAGGGACTCCATGGACTAATGCCACATCATGTTTTGACCACCCTAAACCCTTTTTCAACGTAATCCACCTTCCCTTAGCATGGCAAGTCGAGGTAGGTGGTGGCTTGGCATGTACAATACATGTCCAAGCCATATCAGTCGACTACGGTTTAAAACCTCATCAACTGAATGGCTTGCTTATCTCGTCCAGTATCCACGTGCGAGACGCATGATAACGTCATAGTGGACAATTTTTAATTCCAACCAACCGTGGGGTGGCGATTTTACTTCATTGATAACCATACCTTGTGGATGGTTAGAAAGAATTAATGACGATTCATTCATCTATAATCTGTAAGTCACTGTAAAAGCAGATCTTGGTTACTGTGGCAGAGTGTAATTCATAATCCGATCCTTCAGGAGGTCAGCTGCGGCTAAAATAGCTCAGTGATAACGTGTCATACTGCACTATTAGGTGACGGGAGTTCGAATCCCAGGTAGGACATAAGATTGTAGATACACCTTGCCGACGAGTGCCAAAAAGCACGAACCTCAGATCCAAGGCTTTCTGCCAATTGTCATTATTCAACCAACAGAGTATAATTCCCCACATATAGGATTGTACGTCAGTGCGTAATGAAGTACACAAAAGCATCCTACTTGACACTATCATCTTTATCTAACCTGAGACATGATTCGGAACAGTCATATAACGAACAAACTTCATCCCCGTAACTCCCCGAGTGCATGTCAAGCAAATGAGGCTAATTTGCAAATAATTTACAAATTGTGTACGGTTCAGGTTGAAAAATTTCTTAAGCTAAGTAGTTTTCCAATTGCCACCCAACTGTACTGTTAACAAGGTTTCTACTGGAAACCAGTGTCGTCAGCCAAGATTACAAGTTGTGATTTCTGACACAAAAGTGTCATGAACTAGCAAACAACTTGAGCAGTGGGAAACTACTCAGACTGATCTGTAAATTTTGCGAGACTCATCTGATTTGAACAATTCAGCTATGTGAGACCAATTTGTCTGGATACACCCCTGATGAGCTGGTTCAGCTCGCATAGAAGCGAAACGCGGATCTAGTGATTAGATCGGTCGTTTGGCGTTTGAAGCGATTGGCACTAGATTCGAGTCCCACGGGGAAAACCACCACACACTGGAGTGCAGGCATATGCAGCTGAAGAGTCCCGAACGGGACGAAATGTGCGTCTTGGGTCAGTATGATCCAACAATCCAAAATGGGTCCTCATCAAAAAACCGAACTGTTGTTTAGCTGACCACGTCTACGTACTCGGCAGTAATACACAACAAAAAGGTGTATCTGAAATAAAATAAGTGTGAACGACACATTAAACAGCTTATCAGGCAGTTGAGGATAATAGGCAGGTCAGTAAATGGTCAATACATGTTTAACGATCGGATCTAAGTTTGCTTTTGAGTCCTCATTAAGTCAGTAGAATCCATCCGCATATCAAATCCACAATAAAGTATGACAGGAACCTGTGCCCGGGCTCACCCTTAGTGGTGAGCCGTTGGTAGTCGAAAAACTCATATATCTACGTAGTTGTGTGAGTGGTGAAATTTCCAGCAGCATATCGAAAGTCAGAGTGATATATGTCAATCCGGGCCAACTTTGGTGCCGTCACCACGTTAGTCTGACCGTAAAACGTCGGGTTTACAACGCTTCGATGTAAGGAGTTCTACTTTACGCCTGTGACACCGCCTTTCTAAGTTCAGGACGTGTGACGACTCTGTATTCGATCATCGTTGTTTCCACAGCATTGCTCTTATCGAGTGGCAACACCAAGTTAGTAATCCTGAGGTACGACAACGTGTATTTGGGCATGATGGAGATCGTCAGTCATGCGATACGCATGTCGTCCCAACGGCTTCCACACAGTTCACTGTTTGCTAACGCTGCGACTAGATGGAAGAAGCAGAGGGGTGGTCAGTATATGATGTGGCGCCGTAGGATGAATGATAGTTGTATTGGGTTAGCATCTGTTAGTTCATCACAACTCCCTGGGGAAGGCGTTCGAGAGATCACACAACTCCGTGGTTTGAGACGCTATTAGATATGGCTGAGAATCGAAACCAGTGGTGGTCATGCAGTAACTTCCTTCTGTTGCTGAAAAGTAATGAACATTTCGTTTCTAATGTACCTTACTGGACTGTCCTTTTAATCATGCTATTCTTATTGTGTTTTTCTTTCTTACCCACTTCTCTTTGTTCTATATCTTTACAGTGTTGTTATATTATTTTGTGTGGCGCATTTCTTGGTGCCCATTCCTGTTCTAGTAGTAATAATACTAATACAAGCAAGACGAGATGGCGGTTTGAGACATTCAAGAGCTGAACTAAGAATTTTACTGTACTTTATGATAATATTATTGACTGAATAAGATACAGTATTCTTAAATTTCAGCAAAAATAAACAAGTCTTCAGTGTCTTTTTTGCTTTAAACATCAATAACTGTCAGTTTGACTATCTGAGATAGCGGGTGAGTTATGGAAAACTTGCATTGTTGATACTGAGTGATGATTGAAGAGGAAATGAAAGTCTGCTCTACAACAGGATTAAATACGTCTGTCAAACCACGCCTATCTCAGATAGTTGGACTGATAATCAATATGATGCTCCATCTCTCCCTCTCTCTCTAATTCAGTTACATTTGGATTGGGATGAGAAGTCTTGGCTAGACTGAAAAGCCAGTGTGAATACGGTCCAGCGATAGTAACATGTCACTAATTCACATAGTAGTCGGGCAAAACCCCTTGACGACTGAAGGGAAATAAAAATCTGGCCAGCGGTCGAGGTCTCGTAGACTAGTTGGTAGGAAGGCGGGTTAGAAACTTGCTAGTCGCTGGTTAAAATCCTGCCGCGGCTTCAATCATCCCCCCAGTACCGATGAATTTCACCATTATCACTACTGTCTTGAATAAAAGGATCAATCAATGTAATCAAAATTGAAATGACCAACAGTGTCAAGGCATTCACACAGGAGCTCATACACTGCTACTAGTGATCCACGACAGGAATCTATAAGCTATCACATCAATATTTTCTTTTATTCATTAAAACAAACCTCATTAAATATACTATTCCGTGAACGTTCAACAAATTGTAGCCGATTCTTAAAGAAGTGCATGCTTTCTTTATTATTTATTGATACTTTAGCGACAAGAGAAGTTAATTTGATTGATAAATGCCTTCCAGAATATTCAGTAATACCAGCCAATGCTTCAGCTGCTAAACCTTGACCACGAAAATCTGGTTCAGCAATCATCACAGATAATTCACCTGAAATAGAAAATGACTAATATTAAAGGAGACAAACGTGTTTGAGACTAGAAGGAATCTAAAAACTAAGACATTTAAGCTTTAGAGGAGGCCAAAAAGTGAATATATCTGCGCCGTTATTGTGGCTGATTTGCAGCCATATCACCAAGAGTCAGTCCTCAATTACTGATCTCTATCGTCTTGTGAATCTCAGCCAGGTAGTCTATTCCTTCATACACGACTCAAACCAACAGTCAGAGACTTCATATATTAGTACCATACCTTGGTTTGGACACTCGGAGCCTTCTTTCAACCTAATCCTAGGATCCCACATAGAGTGAAGTGGTGGCTTGGTATTTGCAGCACACCTCCAAGATATCTCGGTCGACTAAGGTTCGCAACCTCACCGACTGATTTTCCCTTCTTGCTTAGTACCCTTCGCCTAACCTCCATACGGTGATCCCCATTAACCGGTTCAAGAACACCTTACTTCTCTTTAATATAATAGTTATAACGGATTTCGATTATATACTGCGTGCATGTCTCTCAAATTAATTCAGTCTTCTCATAGTCTAGTAATGCTGAAGTGTCTGAATAAGTGAAATCTATTTCTCGTACATATTTAGACATAGATGTAGACATCTAAATCGCTGCTTCAAGTTTCGTCTAAGCATGTATAAACATATACGCTAAAATTTCTAACCATCAGGTCATGGGTTCGAACTCCGTTCCGTTTAAGGCGCTTACTGTATTACCCTGAGTAGTATTCTCAACACGGTTGAGAGTGGGTAGGCATATAAACCTACAAATTCGAGGAGCAGGTCAAAATGCAATCAGTAACCTTGTGCGCATCTGTATAGTAGGCGATGAGGCATACCTACCGTGTGAAGGCTTATAATACTACTACCGACTACTCAAAACTCGATAAGTTGCACGGGGCTCGAAATCGTCAAGTACCCAAAACAAAGAACAAGCTCCCATCTACAAACTCATTCACACACTAACTTTGTCAGCTTTCTATGAAGCCTCGAGTAGAAATAATTTGACGTGAGATTAAGCTAACCAGTGGGGATCAGTTAGGTTAGTAGAGCAAAGAAATTAGCTGAATTTAGAATGATAGATCTAACGACCGTAAGTAAACTAAAAGAAAAATATCAGCAACCCCTATGCATGTGACGCATTCGGAATCCTAGTCATTCACCTTCCAGTTTCGATTTCTAGACTCCCTCACCTCTTTGTTGTCAAGCTCTAACGTTTGTCAGTTATCTTTTATTATTAAATATAAGTCTATCCTGTGTACTAACGGAGTCGTAGGTTCATCTTTTCCCTTCCAGATTCTCATGGCCACCACTGAACTCACACTACTCTACGCATCCCTTTGCAACAACGTACTTACCTATCTACCTATAGGCTGGACGAAAATCTCTCAACAGCTAGTCGTTACATACGAATTAACACACATAACCATACATTAAGGTTGGACAAAGCGAAAGTTTTAAAAACCTATGTAATAAGGTGAGGCAAAAGTTTGGTCACCGAATCCTTGCTCATGAAATCAACACTAAACTCATGCAGTATTGAGAATGGTTTAATACCAATTCTGGATACTGAGAAGATTGAACTACTATTGAATTCAGAAAATGAAAGATAATAAAGTTTTATAAAAAAGGACTAGAATGTTGTAAGATGACTTTGAAATGACTGTGGATAATAATTTGTGCTCGAAACGTCATCCAGTAAATAATTCTGTACGACTGTAGTTTATTCAGTGATTATTTTACTGGAACGAATTGATCGGTATCTGTTAGAGAGTATAGTCATTGAACGAATGCCACAAGTTTTATCATAATCCATTTAGCATGATGACGGCTGGTAGCAGAATCCATAACGAGCGTTTCTTTTATTTGGTACCGGTCGGCTGGACTTATTTGTATCCCAATGAGCGATGGTGTTCCCACCAAGAATGGAAGCCAGCATTCATTGCTCTTATGAGTCAGTAGGCTGGTGAATAACGCTTTGGTACCTGTAGAGATGCATACTGGCTGTGTTCCGGTGGAAATACAGCCATTCACCATGCCACAAGTACATCCAGCTAATGTGTCTCAAGTGGAACGACATGCTAGTCCTGGATTTTACTGTCAACCACCAGTGTCAGATTAAAACTAACCTCAGTGTATACCAGGGAATGATGTATATCAGTGGTTGTGTTTATCTCTAAGTCACTTTTTTTTATTCAGGTCTATCATTTTAAAATTTGACTGAGTTCCTACGTCCCGATAACTTGTTTCATAAGGATCGGTTACTGTGACCTATGTGGTTTACCTTACAGACACTAAATGGCATACTAGCTTATTTCATTACCTCAGCTGTGATGAAATAATCCACAAGCCGAAGACATTTCTAGGTTCAAATGGATTTACTACTTAGTTGGTGAATCAGGGGATAAGAAGCAGTGGGGCTGTAAACACCGAGTTTAAAAGGTTGAGTGGAAATATATCCCACCGGGATGTCCAAGTTAGGCGCTTTGTATCATATCAAGGTATTATTTATCATGGATTCACATCAGTTGGAAAACTATTGAAAACCTGGGATCACTGGAAAATTGTCCTGGCCTGATATGGGACTCCCCAGCAATACGCACTCACGACCCCATCGGGGATCGAAATTAAGACATCTGGGTCTCGCAGTGAACGGATCAGTTACTGGGTCGGAGTATAGTAGTCCACAGTTTCTAACTTGTGTCAATTCGTGATACAGCACAACTATCTATCAAGGTCCTCAGCTAGCATTCGCTTCACTTCCGACTGACTGATACATGTTACGGGTTCTCTTTAGAACTTCGGGATATTAATCTCGAAGTATGTAACTAATAAGTACTATACAGTGATACAGTTTAAGGTTTCAGGGGGTTTGTTGATTGATTTCAAGGTAATATTCATCACACACTGACGGACTTGGAGAACCATTCAAAATCTGGGAGCTTAGGATTATGTCATTGAAGTCAAACTGAAATGCACTCACGAACCATAATGTGTGTTCTTGGAATAGCCGATGTGATACATCTGTCGTCGGGGACTAATGATATCTACCATCTGGCTGCTCAAAACTCAGTAGGGGCATCAGGGTTGGGACCGTACTGACTGAAAGTCAAGTACATGGACTAATGAGCCTCAGTCAGTTTTACACTTTACTGAATAACTATATCGAACATTGTTGTTTCAGTTGGTGGTTGAAACTATAAAATGGAGTAGTGAATTAAGTTTATCTTAATTCATTCAAATTTTTACTTGTAAACTCATAGACCTACACTTCATCTTACTTGCACTTGTCATTATGCATTGACGTCAGCCAGAAAATAACTATTAGGAAGAGAACACTGAACATTCTATGAGAATGCTACGATTTATTCATCACTAAGCTCGATAACACTTTCTTACTTTAGTCTATTAAGAGTATATGACGACTGACACTATCATCGGTTGGTATGTGAACTTTTACACTCTACTAAACCGACCGTACAGGCTACAGCTTCCAGGTTCAAAAACTCGAAAATAAAAAATACCAAAGTGTTATACAACCAGATGTTTCACGGTGGACTAATTAGTTTCACAAATGAATCATCCAAGCAACAATTAAAATATATGGATTTCTCAACAGTTGACTCTTCCTGGGCCAGGATTCCCCCAGAACACAAACAGGATCACGAACAAAATGATTGTGGCGACCAGGTAACATCACTAATTGACTTTAGTTGCAGTGAATTCCAATCCAGTAAGGTATTCATCATCAGGTTTGGTGATTTCTAACTTGATTGTTCATGAGTTCTATGAAGTTCTGAGGATGTTCATTTAATACTGGGTGAAGAAATGTTTGCATTATAAACTTTGTCAACAGACGTCACTTAGCAGGCTTAAAGACTGAAGACGACATCGCTTATCATCAAGTTAGCACGAGTGATATTACAAACAGATTGTTGAATTTCAGAGTATTATTTCGTCTAGCTCCCTTAAAAGCATCATCCACATACAGTGTCAAACATAATTAGGCAATCAACTGACAATACAATGCTATCTAGTTCAGACTGATGATACATCTTATGAATCAAAACCAGGTTTGCTGATTCAGTGTCGTTTTTCACCATATTTAGTTTTTGATAGATGATGACACTTGAGTCACCTAACCTACTTTCTCATATATCCTATGCACTCATAGATGAAGAATGAGGCACCAAATCAGAAATATTCATTTTTCTGGTCTCGACTATGAGTCGTACATTATTCTAAAAGTCAATAAACTTGTTCAGAATTTTAGTCCAACTATACTACGTTTTCCCTTGCCTCTCTCCTTCTCAAGCTATCGCAGTTTATCAAGGTAGGTAGGTAAGTGATGCATAAGACATATCTGAAGCATTTCATTCGATCTGACTTCTTCCTGAACTCTATGGTTTGATTACACGTAGCTAGTGTTTATAAAAGTTAATGATCAGTATGTTTTACAGCTACCGCAGAATATCATATTTATTTCCAAAAAACTTGATAATTGGAAGCAGATTACAACAACGGTGGTCTTATAACTTCATCAGACAACCGTTAATAGAAAGATAATCGCTAAAGGGTATCAACTAAACACTTAATTGATTTGATTTTGAGGAAGATGGCTCTGAACGTCACTTGTTGGGGTAGTGACAGGTTGATAGCAAAATATAGAATTCACTAACATTGCATGATCCGGCACACATTCACTATTTTAACCTGTATATTTTGCAAACAAAATATAAGGATGCTTACTACAAATCCAGTAGATTCAAAAGCGATACACCATATTCTAATTAGTCAGTGTTCTGTACATGTTTGTCATACATGTGAAACACATCCAAAAACTATTGATCACAGGTGTATTTGAAGTGCAGATAATGTACGTTGAAATCACGCAGGTAGAAACAGCAACGTTAGGTGTAAAGCGACAAGTATGAGATATAAATTCAATGATTGAAGTAACAAAATGCCTCAATCTATGTGAGAGTGTCTAGTCAGTGCCGTATCGAAACTGAGACGATACGAAGCAGCTGTATCTAAAAGTTTGCAAGCTCAAGTTTTCAAGGATGGAGGTAGGATGTTGCTGGTGTGTGTGTGTAGGGCAATCAGAGGTAGTGTCGTCAGATTAGTCTACTTCACCGATCATCCGAGTCTATAAGAAGAGAGAAAAGTCCTCTTGTGACAACCACAAGGGAACCATTTTGACTAATATTGTGCCCAACATCCTAGGATCTATAGTTATCCGATGCCTAACTGGAGCTCAAGAAAACCAGGCAGGTTTCAGACCTGGACGAAAGTGTATCAATCATATTTAAGCCTCCGAATGTCCTAGAACACAGGTATACCTATTTGCCAGTGGCCGAAACTTGGCATATTTCTTGACCTGAAGGCGGCATTTGATTGTCGACCGTCATCATCATCATTATCAACATAGGACCAGGCATTACTATGTAACGGTACGCGTTGCCACACCTCACGTCAGTTCATCAAGTAGAAAGGTAGTGAGGTGAAGGATGAAGATAGGTGAATGCAGTCAAAAGAAAGATAAAGTACGAGAAGAAAGGAAAGAGGAGTGACAAAATGGTGAGATTAGGTATAGTGTTGTTAAGATGAGGATAATGTGTGTATACATCTGCGCCACTGACTTCGGTTCTGAGCCATGTGATCACCTAGAGTCAGTCTCCAACCACTGGTTCCTCTTGTCCCGCGGACCCCAACCACCTAGTCTGCATCGTCCTACATGGCTTAAACCAACAGTCAGAGACTTCATACATTGGTGCCATGTTTTAGTCTGGCCACCTCGAGCCTTTTTCCAGCCTGGACCCACCTCAGTCAACATTGTGGGACAAGGCAATCGGGATTGTCGACCGTGGTGTTGTGGCAGTGTCTGTGAAAAGAATACCAAAGACCAAGTTAATCGAAGCTGTATACTCGAACTTACGCGGCTGTGCAAGGGTTTATGGAGAAATTTCGTCAATTTTGATAACAACTAGTGGTGTCCGCTATCACTGTTCCTATTTTACTTCGTTATCAACTTACTAATGGACATAACCTTAGGGATGTTTGAGTTCACAAGGATTGATCTACTCCCTGAATGTCAACTGGTTGACTCGGAGTATGCAGATGATATCGCCATGCTGGGTCAAGACACTGACAAACTGCAGGCTGGATCTTCTGAACGGGTTGAGCAGAAATCTAAATATGTGAAGTGTGGCAACTTGAGCCGAGGTTCCTGTCTTTGTGGTTGGTTCTACGTTGGCTTTGTCAGTCAGTGCTTAGAATAACATCCAATATTTGTAAGAGAAAAAACAACACCAGTTCACGATGTCTTTGACTGTAGATATATAAGGTGCATAATTGTTTCTCGATTATAAGGGTTACAAACAAGCATCAGGAACTCAGATTCACATGCTTTCTTCCTCTAAAACAATGTCCTACCTCAAAAGACAGGCGGATATGTCCGAAGTTCTAAGTTGTTTCCGCCTATATGTCGACATAAGAGAGAATTTGTGATACAAACAGTATGTCCACGTAAAACAAAAGCAGTTCGTGATGTAATATTCAAGGTAATGAATGCGATAACTGCTAATTACCTTCAAAACCATTGTCACCACCAGGAGTAAGAAAAAGGTTAACATCTCCAATCATGGCAAAGACTTCAGGATTCGCATTATCCAAGGTCTCATAAACACTTAGACGGGATGACGTATCTATCTCATTCTGTACACTTCCTGATAACCAGTATTCTTGAATAAGTTTTTTACTTAGTAGAATAAACGTCAATCGATCATCGGAGTTACACCACTTCTGTTGTGCGTCGAGCTCCTTGGCAAAAAAAAATGGAACAAAACTGCATAAAACCAACAGTTAGCAGAGGTTCAGTAACAGAAAAAAGTAGGATGCGTATAGCCGATATCGAAAATAAGACAGATCTGAGACACATTCATGACGCACATGAAACTGACTAACATAGTGGGGTGATTGCCGCTGAGTAACAGAAGTAAGCTTAAGCTAGAAGAAGGTTCAGCGTAGCCAGGCTACAATATGGCATCACTATATGAAATGTTTGACTGTTGGCCTGAGTCATGTGGACTTCCGGGTTGAGGTCCACGTGATAACACAAACTATGTTTAGAGGATCTAGATGATATGGGTCAAAAAAGACATCAGCAGCATAGCTGCATCCACACACCATCTTCATCTTGACCATTTCGCTGAGTTCGGCATTTCCTCATTCCTCTCTTACACAACTTTTGGCCGACTTTTCTTCCTTTAATATGTCACTTGTCGTGCTAACATAAGGTGTGGCGACTTTGAGAACTATGCAGTGATGCCTAGCCCCTATATTGGCTTTGTCGAACTGTTTGAAGGTAACACTGCAAAAATGTTATCCCACTAAAAATCACTTATCTATGACAATATTCACTGATTTAATGATGCTAATCAATATTTTAGAATTAACCATACTATGCTCTATAGTCTAAATTACCAGATTTAGATTCACACTGTTTTTGTGATCTATCACTACCCAGACAACTGATAGCTTCTTCCTGTAGTCAGTAGCCAAGTTATGCTAACATTGCGAAGTGCTACATTGAGTTTCCCATCTAAGACGTTGGATAAATCTCACGTTTATTGTGAACTATCCTTATCCAAGGGGTGTCATATTCGGTATATCGACTTATTCTAACCTTCAACACATATGGAAAATCATGATCCCCCTTTAACGAGTCTCGTAGAAATCAACTCTAAAGACGTTTTAAAAAAATGTTAATTTAAAAAGCACTTCTTAGGCGACTTTTGACGGTAGGTATCTTTATTATCTAAGAGAAAAAACCAATTTGACTGTTTAACGGAGTATTCTTTAGGGAATTTGTAGGAGAAAACTCAAGTTGCAACTAGAAAGCCAACAGCATCAACGATAGGTGTGCAATGAGTAGGAAAAGATGTCTACTTCACCAAGTGGCGAACTGAGCTAAAACATGGACGCCTTCTTCGTCAGGCAACCGCCAATATCCGTAGACGATGTGGCAAGTTGGGATGTATAACCGATACGCCTCAAAATACAGCTACCTACATTACTTCATCCAGAGGAATCTAGTGAGTGGACTATGTAGTCTACCATGGATTACTTCTCTTCACGACACGAAAATATAACGGCCACCAGCAAATCGCAAGCTTCCGTGCTCAACGAGCTGGTAAGGAGACCAACCGCAGATCTGCGTATTACTCCATAGGGCAGGTAGCCGTACAACTTACTCCATACAGGCGAATCATTGGACAGACACCCAGAAGCTGCAATCACTGTGTGCGAACTGCAGTGACGTCTAGTGCGGTTGTAAGGCAGGCATTCAACAAGTAGCCCCTCATCCGCATTCAGCACACACGTGTAAGCTTGTGTGTCATTTCATGAAGTCACCTGAATTAGATGATGTACTCCCCGTTCCAGGTTTATTTAGGAATTATTATATTCTTAGGTCTCGACTGGCGTGTCACCCACGTTAACTGGTGGCTGTTGAACATCTTATTTCTGGGTAAAATCTTAACGCACAGTCTCTGAAATTCCGTTTAAATCGCAAATTACCAGTCATACAACTCACAATACCTCGTCAAGTGACAGTAGATCTGACGATGTGCTCTCCCTCAACTGAGGATTTTCCATCCACTGGTGGTACTTCACTACATGAGTGTGAAGATAAGGGACCATGAACAGGCGGGTTGTCTCCAGCACGGTTTCTTGATTCAACAGCATCCCTACACAAAATACAGTTAAGTAGTACATATCCCATTTCTAATAAACCAAAAGAGTAGTCTGACTACCAAATGTGTATTATCATACAATTATTCAGCCTTCGTTGTCCTTGTGTATATCTGTTGCGAATTGTGTTTACACACCATCTTTATTGAACCTAAAAGAGGATTAAGGACAGACAAGTAACTAACAAACCTCGTCGCCATAGCTCCTCAAGTGCATGTCGAGCAAGTGAGGCTCGAATTTTCAAGCGCTCTGATACTACTGAGGGCGTTATGACCTTGTACTGTGGGACTTCTTTCAGAAGCTTATCAAAAGTAGCTTTGTCAAAAAGAACCATATTGTTGAGTTTGTCTCGAACCTTCCCTTTAGACCACTTCTTCTTTTTGGCTTTCCCACCACCACCTTCCTTAGGCTTCATTGGCTTTTTCGCAGGTTCCTTCTTCCCACCTTTCGGCGCCTGCTTTGGTGGCTGCAAAACATAAGATTTAACGAAACAACGCGGCTTACCATGATGAACAGGCGTGCGCTAGCAAACTTGTTTTGACCGCTGTGTCACCCGCTAGAAGCAGGGAGAGCAATTCAATGTTTCACCTAAACCTCCATTATCCAATCCATAACGAGATACAGTTTTCGTGAATTTGACATCCATGCTCAAGGTGTTGAGTAAAAAGCATGAGGTCCTGCCTGTTCAAATTGAAAAGTCTTTCAGTTACAGCAACGTATGCCAGCTGTTCTTAACCACCAAGTGTTGTATTTCTGTCAAAATCCGCCTTTCTCTATATGACTTAGGTACGAACTGGCTATTTCGATGGAATTTTCCTCAGGCGAATATGTCTATACAGTTTTCAATACCACCAATACGTCATCAAGGGATGAAAAGGCTTTGAAAAGCAGCCGCAACACTCGACAAGTAGAGACTTCTCAGTTTTCATCTTGGTGGATGAAGCCTCTCAGACCTGGGTTGAACGGTTTCAGATGGATTCAAGGGATTGATAATGTGGTGAAGAACTTTCTTTTAACTGACCCCCGTGTCTTGAAGTAGCGGGCCACAAGTTCTTCCAGCAGGTAATCGAAAAGAAAAGAATAGAAAAAAATGGCGGTCCAGGAGGTAGAGCAAGTTGGTAGTCGTTGAAATTATGCCTACATCGTTAGTCAGTGTTCATAGGTCCCAAACGAAGTGTCCTGAACCAATTTTACTGAGAGAGAATCCTAGGACTTAACAACTCTTAAAGACTGTCAATCACTGCAGTTTTCCAGCCACCTCTCGAATCAATTACTCGATGACGCAAGCAGCGACCTTTCTAGAAGAGGATTTCAGGTGTTGACCACCCGAGGTAAAGGGAGATATCGCACATAAATTCCCCTAATCTCTGGCTACTAACAAAATTTGTATGATGCAGAGTCACACACTTCTCCAGGGTCAATAGCCCAGGGTCCGGCGAGAATCGACATTGATGCTGACCTTCATGGTTTAACTGGACTCCCTAAGCTGAAGGCACCCGGTCAAGCATCCACACCACTTGGCACGTCGTCGCGTTACGTTGCACTGTTCGTAATCGACCCTCTAGCCAGTTGGTTGGAGCGGACTGGTATCTTGGCACGACCACACAAATATACTATTCCATTCGACTACGCTATCGTGTTCTTTCTTGGTCTCACATTCATGGGTATGTATCAAGTACGAATAACTAGTGATTGGCCTATGCGTCTGTCGAGTTCTCACAAGGATAATTCTTAAAACGGTTACATAAGCCTATCACTTCCGTGTATCGATGGCTGTGCTTCCTGACACACTTCCTGCCATCCGAACACCAACGTGATTATGGAATCATCTTCCTTCCTCGTAACCCACGGCAACCTGACACCATTAGTATTTTGGTTGAAAAATTCGGCAATTGAAGTGTTCAGCTTTCATCGTCGATCTTACATGGCTAGCTGCAATACTGTCTCACTACTTCTGCACGTGAAAGAATAAAGTCAGCGATTAGGATGACAAGGAACTGAGAACCACATCACTGGGTAGTGCAATCTTGTTCACGATGTCCTGCCAAGCCACAAGCCAGGAATGTGAGCAGTTCGGGGTTGCAATTCAGCCATCATTCAGACAAAATATGTTGAAGACGGGCGGAAACCAAATGACACCGAAGTGTGCAAAGGGCGATGATTGACTTGACACCTCATCACATAAACACAACAGGCGCAACTTACCAACTCACCAACTCACCATTACCCAAAATGAGTACAGTCCATGGATCGATCAACAGGTAATGCACCACAGCCCCATGGTGATCATTTGACTTGAACAACCAAACTATAGGGCCTCTTATTCACTTAGAGCTATCAAACAAGTTCGCACGGACTAGTAAATGTTTCTGGCACCACCACAGATGTGCAGGCAGTGTAGACCAGGTCTCGAACACATGCATTCTACTGAATCTGAAATTGTACGCAAACGTCATTCCGACCATAACAAAAATACCAGACGTCTGCCAAACTCTGAGTACACCCGACACGCAGGAAATCTCTCAAACTTTGTTTTGCAGACCATTCGCGGCTAGTGTTGATTTTATTTGGAATAAGGATGTTTACATGGATACAGAGACGTTTCCAACCGTAAAATGACCTCTACTGCCGGATAGCACTTTCTGCAGCCAACCAGTATCAACGTGGGACCTGAAGATGCAGTTTAACAGTTGAAGCTTCTACACCTTGTGCAGGCTAATTGAGATGGAGGGAAGAGTGATGGCTGTCAGAGTAACTGAAAGCTGTGAAACCAAAATTCATAGAAAGCTGCAAGAATGGGTAGTAAACGAACAATGAAATGTGATACGACGATTAGGATGAAGCTAACCTGCAGAACGGTCTACAACATCTCACACGGTCTCTAGTCATTGATTTTGGCTGTCACACGAATTCCAACTTGGAAGTTTGCACCTCTTCATGAATCATACCGACAGCTAGAAACCTCGTTGACTGATGCCGCACTTCAGTGTTGCCGCCGCCAACTTCTTTGTCGACTAAAGCTGCTTCAACCTCAGTTGCTGCACTAGTTCACTGGTCATTTGGCTCAACATCTTACCCCAAACAGGCGAATCAGTGTACACAGACGCCCAGAGGCTGCGATCACCGTGTGCCAACTGAAATGACGTCTTCAATGAGACCGCAATTTACCGACTTCCTCGTCGTTTCTGAGGTGGCGCCAGTTTTCCATTTTTGCATGTCTTCATGCTTGTGGGTTATCGTTGTGCTCATTAAAATTTCATTTTGGCTTTGTTATTCGGTTGGGCCAGTGCCCATTTAATTTTCTTCGCCCATATATCGCTATTCCTGCCTTGGACAGTTCCCATTTTCCTTAGCCTCCTCCTACTTTTGGGCTGTGGGCCTTTCCATTTACGGGATTTCTGGCGTCCAAGGTGAAACCCTATCAATGGGAATTTCGTGTTAGCCTACTGGCAAGTTTGTTGTTTTTATTAATGTAGAAATAAAACTGGTGCATTGTGTGTAGGGTAGGACGGTCGAGGAAAGAAACCGGGAGGCTGAAAACTCAGGCCAACTCACTTCTCTTTTTCGGGGAGAAGTCGGGGCGCTTAGGGAGTGGCTTTGGAGACTGCGGAATCCGCCGACCGATCAAAAGCTGATGAAACGTAATGCGATCCATTAGAAATGCATAGACTCCTGAGTCAGGTGGCGGTTCTCGCTAGCCCAAGCACTTGTATAATTGATTGCTAACGTGCGGCTTTCCCTCGCTCACGGATTTTGCCTCTTCAGATTCCTTATATGTGATGAACGTTAGTTTCGTCTCACCTTTTTATCATGTGCATTGGAAATCGAAACCGGATCACTCGCCGGATGAAGTTTTAGGGTGAGTTCATCATCCATGTTAGTATCAGGAAGTGAAACTTATTTCTTTTCCGTACGAAAGTCTCTTATTGCGGTCCAAAAGTAGCTCAGCGTTTTTGGCCGGATCTAACAAACCTTTCCTGGGTCTGGTACACTTTACGTTGAAGAACGCATACGAACGTCGACCATAACTGATATGGTTATGAAGCAGTGAATTGTATAAACCAGAAGGCTAGCCCGGAAATAAAGTGTCCTGAAGTCTATCTGACTGTGAAACGCGGTCCATAACTTCTGTGGAAAACGTAGCTTAACATCCGATTACACTTACGGTTTCATCCCTCACAAAATCAATACCAACTCACTTCCATCGAGTGTTGTTAACTTGCAGACAATGTAGCATAAACTTGTTGAGAGTATGGGATAACAGGGCCCTGACAATACATCCGAAAATACCCATTCGTATTGGTTCTGTTCACCCCTCTGAGGCATCGGATACAGCCAGTCGCAATCTGATGTGCAGCAAACTTCAGATTGTGTGTGTACATGAGTGATTACTTAGCTGGCTTGGACAAGACCTTTATGACCGACTGCACTCGGTCTCCTTTGACTTCTTTTCTGACTGGTTTCTGGGGCTCAGTAAGCCTCCTAAAGGTTCCACCTCCATCGACTGATATTTGTTGCTATCATGGATGGTTTAGCTTACAACCTCGAGGTCACCGTCGCCGTAGGATGGGGATGTTTCTCATTTTAGAAAGAAATATAGGGGTCGGAGGATGCCAGTATCTTCCAGGACAATCCAACTACGGTCAGAAACGGAACAGAAAAACCTGTTCCCATCTAACACGGGGAAATGTGCTATAATGTTGCCACAAAGGTCATGATCGAGTTTGTTTCTTACAGCTTTGATAAAGTAGGTACATGCTTTTGCGAGTTCACTGTGTACAACAGTAGTTGTTCCAAATGACCTCATATCAATACAGATACCATGGGTAGACATCACCTCTGTTCGACCAGAATGCCCACGACAGTGGATTTGAAGAAAGCTATTAGTTGTGCTTTGTTATCCAATATACACAGACAGAGTGGTTTCGCTAAGAATGTAATATTTTTATTTAGGATAACTGCAAAGATATTCGGTCAAAGTTACATGGGGTAGTCAGTTTGGTTTCCTTATGAGAACGCCAAAATATGAAACTGAAGTGTTCCGATGGAAGAAATAAGTACTCGTGATAGGAGTGGCGACTGGTGCGTGTTTAGTATCATGCTGGAATGCGATAATCAATAGCCGTCTTCTGTTTACTGATACTTGTAATTTCCCGTTGCTACACCGGGTCAAGTTCCTCCATCGTTGCCGAAAGATGGGTTCCCACATCAAGACCTCGACACTGTCCGGACGTCAATTTTATTGAGCCTATTCGGTGGCCAGCAGTTGAGTCCAGGGGAGGCATGTCTTCCCATTTGGGACTAGCCAACTGGATATACCGGCACCCCAGTGAGTGATGTTCTTCCCACTGGGACTCAAATCTACTCTGAGGTATTGTACCGCACTGGCCTGGTGGACCGATTCCTGTCAGTGGTGGTGGCCGATGAGATGGTAAAGTTGGATATCCGATAGTTTATCAGCGGTTTGGTCAAAGTGGCTGGCCCCGGAACAGCGGCAGGACTGCGAGCGAATCGATCTGTGCATGTGAGGAGATGGCTGAAACTGATGGAAGGAGGCAGTGTCCCAGTTATATCT